TGAGAGTTTCAGTGTCTTTGGTTTCTTCTATAACACTCACTATTGAATCATAGGGTTTAGTCAAACTAATCAACAGTTTTTGGACAATTCTTTCATTAGGCAGTTCCTCACCATATGTTTTCATCTTGTTTACAACATCAAACAGCCTAGTGAAGTAGTCTTTTAACAGCTCATTTTCCCTCATTCTTGTATACTCAAAAAAAATCTCTTCTAAGGGACTGAAGTTTTACCTTTCTAACTTTGGTGTCTCCTCTGTATTCTTGCTGTAAAACTTCCCAAGCTCCCTTTGCAGTCTCTTCATTTGCTATCCTTGGAAAAATGGTGTCTGAGACAGCACCTTGAATGATTCCAAGTGCTCTAGCATCATCCATCCGATTCTGCTTCAGTGTTTTGAGTTGTGTTTCTGTGAGATCCTCCTCTAGAGCATCGATCTCCATCTCAGGTAGTTCATACCCATGTTGAACCATATCCCATAGATCATAGGATTTGAAAATGGTTGTCATTCTTATTCTCCAAAAATCATAATTCTCCCCATCAAAGACTGGAGCTTTTAGCTCACTGCTACTTACTGCTGGATCCTTTTCATTTCCAGAATTGTTTGTTGATTGTTGTTATAGAAGACACTACGTTGGTGCTCCCAAAGATCTTATCTTGCACAGATTACGCCCCGAAAGTTGTAAGATCAGTAACAAAGCTCTGAGGCCATGATAAAATTTGTTTATTTTGTGTTTTTGATTGAGTGTTTGAATCGGTTTCTTGGGTAGGATAGTAGAGAATTGAAAAAGAACTTGGAGATTGATTTCTGCTGTGCTAATAATGCAGCAGACTTGATTGAATAAGTAGTGTGAACATTACACAAGAGTATGGTGCATTTCCATCACCCATACTTATCTAAAAAGGTGATTGACAATAGGCTTTAACAACCATTAAGCCTTACTACTCCAGATTACATCCTAACCCTTCATTTGGGGTTAAGTGATTTAATCTAGAGTGTACACTTGTCACTCACACACTTACACAAACATTTAAAAACAAAACTAGCCGTTGGAGACTAGAACCCTTCATTCTCTTTCTTCTTCTTCGATGCAGATGACATCCTTTTGCTCGGGAGTATCTTGCTGCCTTCGACTCCCCGACTCCAGGGGCTGGTTAGCTTCCAACAGTCACAGGTCCTTGAACTCCTTCCAACTCGGTGGTAGCTTGTCAATGATCACAGCAACTTGAAATTGTTCATCCAGATTCATTCCTTCAAAGATGATTTCATGAGCATTCTTCTGCAGCTCGTGTGACTGCACCTCCACTGACTTGTCATCAACTATTTGAAACTATAGATACCGGCTACTTGCAAACTTCTTTGCACCTGCTTTCTCTGTATCATATTTCTTATGGAGTGCATCCCAAAGTTCCTTAGCAGTCTTGTAGGAAGAATAGTTGTCATATAAGTCACCGCATAATAAACCATTTAAGATATAATTTTTGCAGAGAAATAATTGTCAGTCCATGTTTGAAATAACTTGGATTGTTCAATAGTGGGTTGATCAGGGAGTGACGACATTTCATAGGTATAGTTAGAGGCAAATTTCTTGGTGATTAAGAAAAATAGCTTCTTTTGTCTCCGACGTTTGAAGTGGAGTCCTTCAAACTTGGTGGGTTTGTTCAAATCATTAACGAAAGAGTTAGTTTCAATATCCATGGCAGAAATAATGTCATCTTAATATAACCAAAATAAGAACAATGTTACCAGTGAACAAAAAACTGATGGATGCAAAAGTGTCTTGGGTTGAGTCGCGGACAATGTCGCCAAGTAGTCTTAATGTCATGTCGTCCTCAAGATAAAAAGCCCAGAATTCCCTTTGTCTAGACCCCCACTCGAGTTTTTATAGCTTTTGTTTCTCAATTTTTTCTTATCTGTTGACTGATGAAAAAACCCTAATAATTATGACAAAAGCTTGGAGTTTAACATTAGAAAGTTGAGGGAAAAGTGGCCAAAGAATCAGGCCAACAAATTAGGAACTAATCAACTAGTTGAAGAAGAATAGGTCTCTCACTTGAAAACAAACTCAGTTTTGTTGACCAAAAACAGCTTCCCAAAAAATAGGAAGCCAACATCTTCCTCCAAAACTCAAAATATTAAAACTTGGAGGGATGTATTCAATTGGGATTTTAAAGGATTTTAATTCTTTTAATGAATCTAGGGGTATTCAATCAAGATTTTAAGTAATTCTTTGAAATTCAATGTGTATTCAATCGAGATTTTAAGATAGTTTATTAAAATCCTTAGAAATCTGATTGTATTCAATTAAGATTTTAAATAAGTTTATAACATTCTAGGTGTATTCAATTAGAATTTGATTTTAAAGAATTTCAAAAAGATGAGGAATTAGAGGGAATTGGAGAGATTTTGTAGTGTATTTTAAGCATCCACAAATCTCACCTCTCATCATGAGATTTTGAGGGAATTGAATCAAAATTTAAATAGAATCTCTACAAATCAATTAAACTCCATTAAAATTCATGGATTTATAAATCCATTAAAATCTCTCCAATTCTCAATTGAATACACCTCCCCTTAAGTTTTTTAAAAATAAACACAATATCCGAACAGTAAAATTATCACTTAAGAATGCTTTGTCAACCAGTGAAGATGGGAATAGGAGATCAGTGTCATAGTACTTGGTCTGTGGCATTTCATCATATTTGGTCTTGCCTATATATTCCAGCCAAACAGGTTATATGCAAGGCCGGTCCAGAGATTTTTGAGGCCCGGGGCGACGTAAAAAGAAGTGCCCTAACTTTATGTAAGAAAATTATTTATTTTCACACATAAGATATCGAAAAAATTATACTTAGAAAAACACTTCAAACTCAATAATTTAGAAACACAGAAAGACTAATTTATTTTGTATTGAGAGAGGGAAACAAAAAAACTTCGGGCTTACAAGTAGATAGATGATGAGTTTTGTTTTCCATTTGAACTTTGAATGTGTTTTTGAATAAATCGTGAGGTGTTTTTTTCTTATTTACTAACATTGTCAATATGGGACTAAAAATAATGATGTTTTCGAGTCTTTAATTGATATGTATTATTAATGAATGGGCACTAAATTTAACATTTTGATGACACGTCATATAATTTGCAAATTTGGTCTACGTATTATTCTTTGTTGAAGATTAGACTTGAATTAAAACGAATATTTAAAAATAACAACCCACATAGCTACTAGATAGTAACTAAAAATAAATTACCAACCAAACAAAAATTTGTAAAAATTGAAAAGAATAAACATGCACATAGCATTTCGAACTTAGGACCTCTTGTTAATTTTAAACAACAAAAATCATTATTTCTAATTAAACTTCTTGATCCTTTAACCAAATTTTCTAAATTTATACTCTTATAAAAAGAAATTTGTAAAAAAAAGGAAAGTAAATAAGCACACATGGTGTTTTGAACCCAAGACCTCCTTATTATTTTCAAATGACAAACCACCACTTCTAGTTAAATTTCTATGTCTTTGAATCAAATTTTATAAATTTATACTCTTATAAAAACATATATAAACATACCGCCCTAATAATTTTGGTGCCCCTAATTATTTTGGGCCCTGGACGGTCGCCCCTCCTGCACTGGGCCTGGGCCGGCCCTGGTTATATGGGCTGCTTCTTTTCAGTTTCAAGCCATAACTAAGAGACAGTGTTTGAGAAGCAGTAAGCCATTTGTGTGTGTGCCGCATATCATTACGGACTAATTAATCCACACCCAACAGTACTATCTCATTCACTACTATCCTCACAAAATATTGGCAAAAGCTTGTAATATATTATCCATATACATTCTCTACCCTTAAAATGAAATGTGTCATGCAATTATTGGCTTTGTCATTAATGTGCCCAGGGTTCAAGCTTGTTAAGACTTATAATTCCACTACAAGAAAATTTTGATTTCAGTCCAGAAAATTTTCATATTTCACCCTAGGTCAATGGATGCTTGATTTTTTTTTTTTTTTTTAATATAGGTCAATAAAAGGAAGATTCATCTTCACTTCACATTACTACTATTCGCCAAAATTTCCCCAGTCACCAGTTTAGGCCTAGAACCCAGCTTGCATTCCTTTACTTTCGCTTTCATTATGTAATAAATTTTGGAGATAGGGGATGGGGGATCGTTCTATTGGGGAGTTAAATCGCTCTGAGCGGAAAAGAAGTACCATACTTTGTAGTTGATGGTTAATCCCGGAGAAGAAGACTTAGAATAAAGAAGTTTGGATCTGCAAAAGTGTGCTATAGGCAGTTCCTTCACCGAGCACAACAGAATGAAGAGGAATTTGTAGTCTTGGTTCTTTCAAACGGCCTTGTGTGAGTTTATTAGAGACTAAGGCTACTATTGTAATCCAACGAGCAAACCTTATTTGTAGTTCAACTCACCTAATTCCTTATCATCCTTTCAATTAAAAAAAAAAGAAAAACCCTTTTACTAAAGCATAAAATGTTTTTTGTTTTTTTTACCTAAATTCAAATACCAATTATATATTTTATTTAGACATATACATGTTTAAACTAAAAGGAGAGTTATTATTGATAATCTGAAAAAAAAAATAATAATAATCATCATGCATTCCTCCGTCTATATTTTTTCCCTTTATTTTTATGGCAATAGATATTTAATTTAAGACGTTAACGGCAAGTGGGTCCATAGCTCAGTGGTAGAGCATTTGACTGCAGATCAAGAGGTCACCGGTTCGAACCCGGTTGGGCCCTTTTATATTTTTTATCGTTCATGTTTTTTGAAGTTAACATTTTTCCAAATCGTTTAGCTGCACCTGAGTTTGAACTGAATAATCAAATAAAAATATGTTTTAACAATAACCATAACAGATTCCTTGTCAAATTTCATGGAAACAAAAATATTAAGAATGGCTATTGCGGTTTCTATCTTTCGGAGCCGATTATTCTCTAATCCAATGAACATTTGTTCTGTAGAGACAAGCAAGCTAAAGATATATGACAAATAGTTTAAATTAACAATAATTAGCTAACCACTGCCAATAATATTCAGATTATGACATCCTTCCTTCCTTGTACAGATTAAGTCTTAATAATTAATCAGCCCCATGGGAAGGCAAATGGTTTTGGATAGGATTCACCGGTGGCCTCTCATAAGTTACAACAATATTCTCATCCCCATGCTCGTACTCTTTGAAGCATGCAATCCTCCCCAACTCTTCAACTTCCTCGATCACATGATCCAACTTTGCCACCGTCTCCACCAGCAGAGATGCAAAAGCGGCAAACGGAAGCGCTTCCGAGAACTCGAGGCTGGTGATGGCAATTTTACTCAGCTGTGGCCTCAAGAACTTTCTCTCCGGCTCCTTTGCCTGCTCATTAGCCCTCTTTGTTTTCCACTCGAGTAGCGCTGAACTGTCGGTTTTCACGCTTGATAACGAGACTCCTTGCTTTTGTTGTGTGGCGTGTGCCGCTGCTAGGGCAAGCATGTTGGTAGCCTGGTTGCTGTTGGAGCCTAGGAACAGTCTTGGTTGTGATTTTATGGCTGTGTTTAGGTCTTGGAGAGCTTCATGGAGGTGATCGGATAGTATTTCGGGAGAGCAATGGCGGCGATTTCTCATGCTGTTGGAAAGTTCCATTAGTGCTTTCGATACTTCTCCTGCAAGGCGAATGCATGGGTCCTTGAAGAGTAACCTAACAGATCTTGGGGTCTGCAACAGAAATTTAGTAGAAAAAAGTACCTCAATTATTAAGAAAAACCAAAGCCAAAATTAGATCCCCTTTTGTGAAATTATTTTCCAAATCTGCGATCTATCACAACACGAAACATGTGACCTATATTCTTGTTCACTATGAGCAGATTATGAGGGTTCTCTGGCACATAATCATAACTCTCGTGACAATCATCGTACTTTATATGTTTTCTCTCTCTTCTCTTCTAATGAATATTAACAAATAGGGCAACTGTATTAGGATACATATTTTACCTGAATTTCAGTTCCTAGACATCCATGTAGAGCTACAATGGTGTATCCAAAATGTCGAAGAACGTTTCCCAATTTCACGTATCGCTGCCATGGAAATCTGTGACAGTGTCTTGAATGCCTTGGTTCCCAACTTGCATGTAAGGCCTGCTCAAATTGCAACACCAAAGATTTCACGTATCCGTCAAGTTGAATATCAAATATAAACGAAACCAAACATTTCCAAGAAACACAATTACCATGGTTTCATCCAGAGACTTGGAGTCCAAAACAGCCTTATAACCTTCATATATGGGATCCTCTGTTGATTTGTCTTGGTTTAGTTCTGTTTCTTCCCTAAAGTACTCATTCACACAAGCTGCAACATCAAAAATCCCAAAATACTTTGAATCATGGCAGGTTTAGTTATTGATATTATTATTATTTTTATTTGAACAATATTCTAATCTAATCTAAAATACGGGCAGGGAGATTAAAACTTGGATGCAGAGGTCAAAAATATGATCATGATGATAAGCAACTTTGCATATACCTTCAATAGCTCTAGCTAGGCCTTCAAGCTTGAACACTGTGGAATTATGGAGCTCTTCTCCTGACCAATTAGGAAATACCAGTAGACTCATCATTAGGCAGATACCACAGCCTATGGCAATGGTGTAGAATCTCTCATGCGCAATCTTCAAGACATTTTCAACGCGGTAGCTTGACACGGTTATTAGGTTGAAGGTCAAGAGAAATATCACGATTCCATAGTCATAGTTCTTCCTAATATAAGGAAAAAACCTCATGTATGTGGCTGCAGCTCCTGCCAAATCAAAAAGTGACAACATAGCAAAATATTAGTAAAAATTGTAGTGGAGAAAATTGACAAATTAGGCTAAAGAACTAACTTTAAGTTAACATGAAAAAATAATCTTGGTCTTTTCTTGCACTAGAAAATGTCATCAAAGATTGTTTGGTGAACACAGATGAGATTACCAATCAGAAAGACTGCCGCTCCGATGAAAACTGCTCGGAAAGTCCGACCGGATTCAGTTGCAATATACTCTATGAAAAAGGCCAATGATCCAGCTAACAATGTCCCCAATCCACGGTTCAGTCCCTTGCACAAAGTTGCCCCTATTTACAAACAACAATAAAAATATGAAACAACTTTTGTTCATCACATATGCGTATAATATACACGTACTTATTATTTAAACAAATCATAGGCTAATCAATTACCTGCAGTGAACTCAAGCACAACAACCACAGTCATGACAGCCCAAATGGCATTCTGTCCAATCCCAACAAACAGCGGCTGTATCAGATACAACAAGGAAACCAGTGTCAAAGACAAGCCAACTTTCAAAGCATGGATCACCCTTCTCGGGTCATCCCGTGCGACGGTCCACACCGTGCTCCAAACCAAACCCGGAAATCGTTTCATTCTTTCGGCAAAAATCTGCAAACGCTTCAATGCATTCCCTTCATTTTTACCACAATCCTTGACCATGTCCATTTCCATACCTGCATGAACTTTGGGAAACATATAGGGACACCCCTCCTCCCCACCACAGAAAAAAAAAAGAAAAAAAAGAAAAAAAGGACACCCACAAACTGAAACTGGTGGAGGGATGATCAGATCATTAGAGTTCTGATCACTAGAAGTTTGGTATATACATGTATATGTATGTGTGGTTATATAAATATTCAGTTAAATCAGTTTGAGGAACAACACCATGCAGCCATACTAGGGGTAGTATTAAAATAGTGCTGAGTATTATGATGTGCTTGGTTGGCTGGCTGGCTGGGAGTCTTTGTTGTATACAGGAAACCCCAGCTCTCTCTCTGACATAGCTTAGGGTTACTTTATATGGAGTGAGAAAATGAGATTGGTGACTGTTGCTACATTTCACATGCCTAGCACAAAAGTGGGGTGTCGTATTAAATATGGGTTGCTTTCACAAGTAGTGAGAATCAATATTGATTTCATCACTCAAAACTGTTTTGTTTATTTACTCAACCTTGATTAGTGGTTTCCATAATTTACTACTAGTAATATTTGACAAGTATTTATTTTCACTTTATGGCATGGGAGGGAGGTCAATGACTCACACAAACCGGCCACTGAACATCAGCCAAATTTAAAATTTGTATTGCACCATGTGTTCTCAGATCTCAAATACTTAAAAATAAAGAAATTGTCCATCATGTAGAGATTCTCAACTATAAATTAAGATCATATTCATATATGTTAAGATTAACAATGCCAATATTTGAGATCTCAAATTTCCATTAGCGGAAACTTTATCCTAATCCAAAATTGTGTACTTGAATATCAAACTTGATATGTTTGATTTATCCAATATCAAGGCTAGAGGAAAAGGGGAAGAGTTATAAAAGGAGAAAAGAAAAAGCAAAAGAAATGAGAATTAAAATCAAATCAATCTGAATTTTAAGTTACAAGGGTTTACTAAAATATGATTATTAGTGCAACGCGAAAAAGAATAAATCTACCATAAAGTAGTACAAAACTTCAAAATTTAATTAGGGATAATTAATAGATAACAAACATAATGTCTAAACATTTTATTTATAATGTCTCTTAACCCTTGAAGCCCTAGGAGTCTTATATTTAGAATTAAACGATTAACAAAATACAAAAAATACCTTAAAGACTTAAAACACTGCAAATGATGGAATTTGACCCAAAAGCGCATATGTCACAACAAAGTAGTGTGTTTGATGCGACTTCGTTCTCTTCTAAACGGGGGGTCATGGGCCCAAATCATACTCGGAGCCTAAATATGCAAACCCTTTTTCTTGTTGCCCGATTTGCATCATTCAATTTGATCTTCAATTCATTCCACCATTTGATTTACATTAGAAACAATTTTCATTCCTAACTTCTGTGATATCTATTAAAACATATGAAATCGAAAAAGTGTGGATATCTCTTTATAGTATGATATCAAATAGATATTAAGTAATCATATTCTCTTTTCTTACTTGGTTTATTTAAGTTCTCCAATTTCTTCCTTATCTCATGGATATTAAGTAAATATGGTATTTGTTTCATACATTATACTATGTTTCTCCCACTTCCTTTCCATCACCCTCCCTCCATTCTTCCCCATCTCTATTTTTCCCTGTATGCTTTCCCTCTATCCTTAACACGAATAATAAAACCTAAAACTAAAATGGAATTTAATCAAAATAATCCTTGACTAAATTAGCGAAGAACAAAACTAAAAATTATTTCAGTTCTTCTGTCTTCATCAAAAAACAGGTACAAAGATCGCAAGCACCGTACCAATGTTGACATACAAGAAATGAAAGAAATTTTTGGTTGGGTCAACGGTGCAACGTGAGTTGACCGGAGATTGCAAATAATGCAACTGAGGGTCCACAAAACTTGTGTGGAAACAAATATGTGGCATTAAAAAGTGTAACTAGCAGCAGTTCTCTTCAGGCTCACGGATTACAAGTTATTACAGAGCCAACTTTTGATGGACGAAATATCAAAACTTGCTAGAAAAGGAAGTAAAGCTTGTTGTTAACCTAACACCATGAATTATGAACCACTTTGTTGCATGGGAAATTTGGCATTTGGGCATATATAGCTGTTGTTCTCAAACAGCTGTTTTGCTTGATCTTTTGTGTGAAATAACATCACTCGTGCTCCCGTGCATCTCAACTTCTCAATATGAAGCTTAGCTTTCACCACTTGGCACCTTCCTTCCTTGTCCAACTGTGGGTCTTGGTGCCGGCCTATCAGAGCTGCTGGTTGCTCGTTTTATATATTCTCCCTGTATTTTTTGTACTCTTTAAGGAGTTGGTCTAGCAAAAAGCAAGCAAGGTTTAGAACTTCTAACTCGAGTTTGAACTTATATGGATGCATTACTTGAGGGCAAACGGCTCTGCTTTGGCATACCATTTGACGTGGAGACCAAAAGTATTGCCGCCCTCATTTTGTTTTGGGGTTGCATGAGTCTACCATCAATGTGTGGCGGCATACCCTCTTATTATTAAAAAATTAAGATAAAAAGAAAAAAGGGGAAGATTGTAGCAAGGAGCACAATTTAACCGATATTTGGTAAAAAATATAGTTTTTTTAGTTAATTATGTTCCAATCCATTCAAGATTTTTTATATAATAAATATTTTTTTATTGCAAGCGATATTACTACAGTAAACTACATTAAAAGGAGAAAGAAAGTTTGAACTTTAGATTTTAGTGGATAGAAGATGAAGACCATATTTATCAGGGCAATTCACCACATATTGAGCTCAGATGTGTCAGCTTTGATTTCGAAGAGAGGGAAGTCGAGAGAGAGGTGAGAAGAGTGAGCCCTGGGTTTTGGGTTGAGCTCAGAGCTATAGTCTCAAACACAAGGATGTCGAGAGAGAGGTGAGAAAAGTAAGGTCGGGATTTTCGGGTTTGAGGTCAGATCTCTGAGCTATGTGTGTTATTCTTCCATAACCAAACACACCAAATTCTTCCTCTCTTAAGGATAGGACGTTTGTACCATATTTTCCGTTTTGGCTAGAAAGTTTCATTTTTTCCGACGACTAAAGCTTCGGCAGGTATATTTGGGCACCTCAGACATCTGCTCGATTTGGAGGCTAGTAAGGTAGGGTATTTAATTCCAAGTTCCTATATCAATGATTTATGGAATATATAGGTTGTTTGTAAGATGAATTTATATTTAGAAGTTCAATTAAGGTTTGTGTTTCATGTTGGGGGCTATGGGTTGTGGAAAAGACTTTATTTTTGACGTGCTAGAATACTGGGTATGTTCCAATTTTTGTTTTAAGTGTCCAATTGCAGAAATTTGTGAAATTTGAGAAAATTTTCCCGTAATGTTCATATGGTGTGCATGGTGTGCAAGGCTGTAACTTAATATGAGAAGCGGGAATGTTCACTAGTTATGATGCACATATGTTCTGCCTCGAAATTTATCAAGTATGACCACAACCTAGTTGTGGCCCGACCTCTGTGAAAAACAAAATTAAGAAAAAGGTTAGAGGACGTTAAGGGTCATGCGTGTCCATAATATAAGTGACAACAAGTTTCATGTTTTCCATGTGCCCAGTTAAGTGGTGGTTGATATATGGAACAAGACTTGCAAATTCTCACTGTAACCTTATATATGTGATCGTTATGGATTATGCTGTAATTGTATCCACTATATGTTACCGTAACCTTATAAATGTGATCGTTATGGATTATGTTATAATTGTATGCACTATACCAATAACATGCCTTTAAATTGTCTTATAAATGCCAAAAGTAGCTCCTTACCCGATCTCCAGTTTTGTGCTTAGCATCTGCTTATAGTGTACATATCATGTGCATATTGTATGCATACAATATGCATATCGTTTACATACAATGTATATAGTGCGTATTCACATATTTGATAGTTCTCGCATTAAGGTAGTTTAGGACATGGTAGGTGCCCAAGATAACAAGGATACATAGTTCTCATGTTTATTATCATATAATAACAAGCAAATACATTGTACAACTATATTATATTGCTTAACATATAATTAAACATTTCAAGTCAACCACAGGCTAGGTTGCGTTTTCAAATTTATTCTACCGTAGCTATTAAGCATAGCCCTCACCAAACGATCACCGATACCAAATTTTATTAAAAGATTTGACCTTCTACATTGTCATAGAATCCAATTGTGGCTGATTTGGTTCATTTCCCTTCACTACCTGACGAAAATCTTCAAACCCTTTGTTGCGTTCTTCCTTCATTTTGGCATTTCCCTCCTCGAAATGCTTATAACACTCAATATGGTCGCGATGCTTCTGCGACAATTCAAAATTTAAGAATGGGATCCTTTCTCCAGATGTGGTAGCCTTCGTTTTTTGCTTGCTTGCACAATAGAGAGCTTCGTTGGCTTTACCGTTGAGGTCCACAAGCTTTTTTTCTGCCTTCATCAGCTTTTGCTTCCACTACTCGATGACACCGTCTCATCGAGTCTTCCATAGACCTTACTTATATTTTCTGCGGCATCTCCGAGTCGACAGAGCTAAACGATGATGTAGGATTTGCCTTGGGTGACCTCGAAAGTGGAGGAGGTTCCACTTTGTACCACTCATAGAACTCAGTGTTAAAACCCTCAGTTGCATGCCTTAACTTGGACATGTATGTGTTGTGAATTGTTTTTGGCTATCTGAGAAGTGGAATGCCTTTCTTATGCTATGGGGTTAATGGTTACGGCAACTAAGTGTGAGAAGCCTATTTATACAAGTGTAGCATGATGTGTGTTGAAACGAAATTTGCGCACCTCCGTGAGTGGTAGTTGAGCACGAATCTGAGTAAATCTGAGCAACTTGCAAAACAGTACACAACCATGAGCAAGCCTAAGAACTAGGGGGAGGGGGAGTGGATGTGTTGGCCAAAGGCTCTTTGACGGTCAAGTTAGTGAATGATTTTAGAATCAAGCATTGCGTTACCATAGATGAACCTTAGGTGGGTGTATTCATATTGTGGGGAGAGAGACTTTTTAAGGATAGAATCCTCATTCTAAGCTGGGAGAATCCTAAAGGAAATCTCGAAGTAGATATTGCACCCTCTTAGGAGATGTGATTTGTTAAAGCCCACCCCTGAACTTATATGTAATTTTATTTTATTTTCCCAAAGTTTTATTGAATTTATCATTTTGGTCCCCTAACTTGACTAAATCTAGACCCTTTATCCAGATTCCTAAACTCCCTCAAACTACCACGTGGCAGCACTCTAAAAAACCTCATCTCTCTCTCTCTCTCTCTCTCCTCCCTTTCTCTTCTCTTTTCCCTTCTTTCTCCCCGAATTTCTCTGCACTCACTCCCGTCTCTCTTCCTCACTCCCCGATCTCTCACCCCTCGACCCACACCCGAGAGCACCACACCACCCTCCCCCAACGTCAACGGCGTCATCATCGTCATCATCATCCTGCCGTCTCTCTTTCTCTTGTCGCTGTGAGGCGTGAAGAAGCCCAAAAAAACCCTCCGGCGAGATTCTCCATTTTTTAGAAATCAAGGTAAGCCTCGGGACTTCTCTTTCTGGTTTATGATGAATTGGGGTTGAGTTTGGGACTTTTTATCCATGCATGCTTGTGTTCTTCGAATCTCCAATTCTCGGCAAGCTTCTCCGGTGGAACTCCGACAAGTTCTAAATCAAACCTATCCAAAACTTTGGAATTTCTCATCTGAGAAACTGAATGGTGAACATCATGAATTCCGGTAATGGAATCGTCGAATTTGGGGTCCTGCAAGCTCGTCTGGGTATCCAGCAAACCTAGGGTAATGTTCTTATGCTTTGCATGTTAGATTTGAGTTGAGATTTGAAGGTTTTAACCCTAAGAAACTCTCTGTGCATTTCCCTAACTCCAGCAAGAAAATTTGGCGAAGTCTTGTCGAGTCTGAAGAGGATTTGACTCGTTTTCGTCTATGTTGATGCTCTGATGAATTACCTCAATTTCTAGTGAAGTTCTAGTCCAAAGTCATGTGGAACCGAGGTGTTTTACCTTTGTTCATTCTCTCTAATTAGTTCTAGAAACCAGGGAACCCATACCAGTTTAACTCCGGCGAGTTCGTGGGCTCTGTGTGTGTGCGTGTGCGTGTGTGTGTGCCGTGCGTGTGTATGAGTGTGTGCGTGTATGGTGAGTGCGTGTGAGTGTGTGGTTTGTGTGTGTGGCGCATGTGTGTGCACGTGTGTGGTGTGTTACGTGTGTGTGCATTGTGCCATGTGAGTGTGTGTGTGTATGTGTGTTGTGTGGGTTTGGGTTCAAGCCCAAACCACCCCCTTTGTTCCTAAACTATCCAAACCCAACCTAACCCGTTCATTTTTCTTTTTGTTATTTGTTCTTAAGTCCCAAAGGGCCTTTAAGGCTGGTTTCAATTAAAGTGCTTAAAGCCCAACCCCCTTTGCAATAAGGCCTTCGGGCCGTGTGTGTGTATGTGTGGGTTTGGGCCCAAGCCCAGACAACCCTAAACCTATCCAACCCAAAGCCCTTTTCCCAAAACCAATTTCCTAAAACCCATTAACCTTAAATATAAATCCAAACACTTATGGCCTAATTGGCCCAACCCAAATCCAAGCCCAGTCTGACCTTTGACCGTTGACTCTGATAGTTGACTCAGTCAACGGGCAACGTTGACTTTGACCGGTCAACGGTCAACGTTGATTTTTAGGGTTGACTTTTCGGGATTTTGTCTGGGACCTCTCCTAGGCTAATTTCGACGTCCTGGACCCGTTTTCGATGTCCGTTTTCTCAAATTAAATCATTTGAGTAGAGTTTGACGAAATATACCATTTTTGTGCTTAGGGGCAATTATTGTGGCTTTTGCATATTTGCTAGCTGCTCACCTTTTCGATTGCGAAGTACTGTGAGTGGACCCCTTCTAAAATTACATGATTTTATAGTTCAATTGCATAAATGAATAGCATGCCTTACGAATTTATGTTTCGATTTTATGTTAAGCATGTTTATTGAATATGTTGATTTTCGTCTCGTGTTTTTGATGAGGAATTAATTGATGGACTATTTTGAGCTATAGTTTTGGGAGTTTTAACGAAAAGACTGTGGTACTATTCACTTTAACGAAAAACCACATTTTTACACTAAAAAGTCAAACCTGGTACTATTTATTTTACCCTTTATTTTGTCCTTATCGTTAAAAATTAAAGTTTTCAAGCTCTTTTCATTAGTTTTCCTTATATTTTTTAATATATAGTATTTTCTATAAAAACCATGAACTGGTAGACTATCCGATGGATGACGATAGGATGCTAGAACATGTTTTCGAAACCCCTCTTTATAATATAAACGATGGATGACTTTATACTATGAAGTGGTTATTTTTTAGAGGCGTAACTATTTGTGCGTACCTAGTGGACACTATGCTGCCTAGGGCGAGGATCTGGTGTTGGCAGTTAGGCCGAGAGAAATAATCCTAGCGAAAGGCTAAGGGACATAGAGACAGGCATTGGGCCGGGAGGGAGTTATCTCTGGCTACGGGCACAGAGACTTAGGTGCAGGCATTGGGCCGGGAGTATTATTATTCAGTGATTTTACTAACAGCACACCGCGCTTATGAGACGATCTACGAGATGATACACACGATGATTTATATGATGTTTTTCCGCGTTATACCTGTTGAGATGTTTTATGGCATGCTAGAGTTTCAAAAAACCTATCACTTATTATGCTAGTAGTTTTCATTATTTATAAACCTGGGGGTTAGTATGTTCATAACTGTTTTCGTATTATGTGTATATATATATAAACCTGGTCCACTCACCCTTGTTTTGCACCCCCTTTCAGGATTTAGAATCGAGGTATACGATCCCGACGTCAACGCTTTCACATTGACATATTCGAGTCCTCTCGATGTAGGACTCACATCCTTTTATTTATTAAATTTTACATTAATTCTTTTAGAACTCTAGTTAGTTGTATGCTCTGAACACGTTCCTAAATTATTAATTCATTGTATTTTAAATTCATAACCCTTATTTACTTCTTATTCTTAGCTTTTGTATCAATTAATGGCTTTCGTCACCCTCGGGTGTCGGCCAACACATGTCTATCCTGGTAGTCGGGGAATATCAGGGTCGGGGCGTCTCATGATTACTTGCGGTGCAAGCCAATCCCTAGATTGTAGGAACTCCATGACTTATAGGATCTAATGTGTCCATATTTGGATTAGATCGCGTGTCTTGCAAGACAAACATGGTCATCTAGACTTTGCCTAGTGTCCCAGAGTAGAGTGATGGTGGCACCGCTACTCTGTTTGATACAGCTTTGCTAAGAGCTGGTGAGTCCATCATTGGACTTCTGAGGTAATTGCACTTGGATCAAACTTACTCCGGCCCTAGAAAATCATGGTCCCACAGTTGCCCCTAACGATCCGGTTGAGAAGCAACCTGTATACCTTGACAATGGATTGTTAATTGAAGACCTCGTCTTTCGGAGTAAGCTAGAATACGTACCATTTGGTCTTCAAATTTTTGCAAACGATGCAACTTTTGGATTTGAAGCGGCGGCGTTTTTAGTTTTGAATGGGTTGCCTTGAACTCCATACCTCAAACCCCGTAATGATGGTGTATTGCGCCTGTTGCGTATGCACAACAAACAAGAAATTGCCTTGGATATCGTACCCCTAAAGACACAAGGAGAAATTATTAGATGGTACAATATTATCACCTGGCACTGACAGCTGGTAGTACCCACCAATAAATGCATGACATGTGGCAAGTTAATTATTAAATAAAAATTAATGGCTGGATTTTACAAGAACCTAACGCCGTTAGGTCTCTGCCAAAAAACTGATGTCTGCCTCTTCTCCTTCCCCACGCCTTCTCCTCCTTTTCCTCCGCAATTGATTCCTTGTATCCCACCTCCTCCTTTTTCGCCAAACCAAAAGCTTTTGTTGCGCTCCCAATCCAATCCCTCCTTTCTCAAGGAAATGAAAGCTCTGCACCGTTCAAAAAAAAAAAAAAAAAAAAAATCTTATCCATGTTTACTTGAATCAAAACCCAGAAATCTCATGCCACAGGTACTGGAAATTTTTGCTTGAATCTTACTGCAATTTGGTATTTTTTTTTCTTGAATATGACTGCGAAAACCAAAAATATGTGTTTCTGTTATTATTTTCTTCTTAAAGAAAAGAAGGACAAGAGACAAAATCTTATGAATTGCCAATTTGTTTAACTAAACTCATAAAGTGTCTGTGTTCTTACTAATTCATTGTATTTGATTAAGTGGGATTTTGGTATGTACCAGGAATTAAAAGAATGTCTATCAAGATCTGATGAAACTCCAGGCAATGCCCTATGTCCTTTGGGTATAATGCCCATGGATTAAAAGAGAACTTCTATGGGATTTTTTTTCATTTGATTAAGCTTTTCTCTCTACTGTTTTTTTTGTTGGGGGGGGGGGGGAGGTCTCAGATTGCAAGAATGAAAGACAGCTTGAATTGGATTTTGGGTTGCTTCAGATTACTACTTTCAGCTATAGCTACCGTTCATTTTGGGTTAGATGTATAGAATTGGATTTGTTGTATCAAATGCTACAATTTTGTAGTGACATACAAAGTGTTAATAGGCTTTTGCTATTGTAAGTACAAGTGAGCATGTGGTTGTAAATTGTAATGAGACAAAATGGTATCTTATACAACTCAATGTATGGTTGCCATGATTTCTTATGCCTTGGCGCTTTGCTCCTTATATGCTTTATTCACTATGATATATAGCATGACAGTACATTACTCAAATGACATGCGCACTCTATCTTAAAACGAGAAAGATATGGAAAAAAATTAAGAGCAAAGTTATTGTTTCCAGTTACTGTAATCTCAATGCTTCCTTCCCTCCAAAATAACAAAGTTGTCGAACAAATATTCACCACAGTATACATCCGGTTCAAAATCAAAATAAGTAAAGGCTTCTAATTAAAAAAAAAAAAGATTTAAAGGTTTCCAACCCAAAACATATCATCTTCCACCTGCACCCAAAAATAATAAATCAAGTTTAGTAGTGAAAAACAAGAAAAATCTTAGGGTAACTTAAAAGCATTTAAAAGTGATTTACTCTTAATGTATTGTAGAAATTACTCCTCTGGATTATGTTGTCGCCCATAAACATATGGATGTGAGTCCTGCATTACATATGGCTTCACATTAACTAAATGCTAAAAAAACAAATATGCCTTGTGTGATAAACAAATCAAACCTGGCTGAGTTGAGGATTTAGTCCAAAGGGTTCGTGTGCGATAAACTTGAGGATGAATTCTGCCACATGTATATAACAAATGTATAAAACAAACAAGAATTGCCATGTGTATTCATAAATTCCGCCTTCTCAAAGTAAATCGATCAATACTTGACTCGCCATAAATTGACTATCTTTTTGCATAGTTGTAAATGAAAAACTAGGTTGGATTACTTGGTTATATGGAGGCAATGCATGATTGTTTGTTGTTAACAAGCTCACAGCTGGGAAGACCTGTGTAACATTTATAAGATGATATGCAATTAGTCGAATTTAGAGAAGATAAGAGCATTCAAGGTCTTAAAACATACATCACTGTAAACTAACAAATTAGTTTACTTGGTTTGATGGAGGCAATGCATGACTATTTGTTGTTAACAAGCTCATAGTTGGGTAAACCTGCGTAACATTTGTACTAGTGGGTACACTGAGTTGTTGAAGAAAATTTGAATCATATGGTGTTGAACTATGTGAAGGGCCTATATTGCTTGGCTTCTTGGTTTTCCCTACAAAACAAATTTAAAATTTTTAAGTAAAAAAGAATATTAGAATTACATCTAATAGTCAATAAAAATATAAAATTTTACTTACCAGATGAGACAGTATCTTTAGATGCCTTTTTTTTTCGTTTCTCCATAGCACTTTTTAATCTGGCATTGCTTACTCCTTTCGGCCTTACCAACGGAGGATTCAATATTGGTGGCTCATCAATTGAGCAACCATTTGCATTACAATCATCATCATTGTTATCATTGCTCTCTTTATTAACTTCACCCTTTGACTTGATCATATCCTTTTCAATCAATTCCTCCATCTCTCCCAATTTTTTCATGGTAACTCTAGTAGCACTTTCGGACTCTGCTCCCTTACTCTATATTATAAGCCATTCGCATCAAAGCATTTCGACGCAATGTAACAGATGGTTCACCTTTTACCTGCAATAATTGACTATGCTCATTTGCATGCAATCCTTTCTTTGCATCTTTTGTCCAACGCTTCAATATATGTTGTGAAGGTATTTCAGTCCAAGATTTGACGTTTAGTACCCTTAGAGCATGACGACACAACAAACCCATGGACTCATACATTTTGCAGCTACAAGAAACCGTGCCATCTGATGAGTTAAGTTGGATAAGGTAAACTCTTGTGTGACCCTCCTCATTAAGTTCAAAAGAGTGTATTGTACCACAACTCTCATATTCATGCATTGTCACTGCTAAGCTATTCAAAAACTCTTTTTCAAATATTTTAAACATTTTCCTAGTGTAGACAGTAGCAGCATGCTTCAAAATTCCACTCTTTTGGGCAACTCTAGAAGGGAGACCCTGATTGCAACGATAAGACTCTTCTGATTCACTTGTACGCATTTTTGCTGCTTGTTTATCATAATGATGCACAAATTCAATAAGTCTCATTGTCTTGGTAGAAATTTGGTGGAAAACATTATTCGTGCTCTCACTTCTTTGTGAAGATTGTATCCGACATGTGAAAGTATCATGGCTAAATGCCGGACACCATTTGGCACGAAGCGCATACAACATATTCATCCGTGAGCACATCCGTGAGCACCCTGTAAGGTTGACTTCTGCAACTAGCTCATCCCAAGTCGACTGGAATTCCAATTCCGTCTCACAATATTTAAGACATTTATTGAACAAACGTCTAAAATCAGGGTTCGCATAGAGACTTGACATATTTTTTGCACAATTCTGAGAAATGTGCCACGAGCATAAACGATGACATACCCCAGAAAAAACTTTTTCAATGCCATTTGCCATAGCTTGACACTGATCAATAAAAATTGTCTTTGGCTTTTGACCTCCCATTGATTCCAAAAAAGTATCAAATAACCAAGTAAACGTTTCTGTTTTCTCATCCAGTAAAAATGCACAACCAAACAATACATTTTTCCAATGGTGATTAACGCCGACAAAAGGAGCACAAATCATGTTATACCTATTGGTACGATATGTAGTATCAAATACTACAACATCCCCAAAGCACTCATAGTCAAGTCGCGACCTTCCATCTCTCCAAAAAAAGTTTGTCATTCGATTTTCTTGATCCACTTGCATAGTGTAAAAGAACATATGATCTTCTGCTTGCTTGTGCTTGAAAAGGTTGATCAAACTTTGAGCATCCCCTGCTTCAAACATGACCATTTTTTCCTTATTCATAACATTGTAGCAATCTCTTTGTGTAAAACCTACATTCTGAGACCCACCAGCTTCTTCTGCTAAATAAGAATATGTATTTGTAGTTCTTATTCCTGCAGCTGCCATGGTTTTAATCACACCCAACTGGGCTTCAGAAACTTTTCTATTTGATCTCAAAAACTGCCTCTTTTCTGGTTTAGCAAGCTCGTGATTGTGTTGAGAAAAAAATCGAGCAACTTTCAACGTACCATCCGTTTGTACTGCAAATCGAATTCCAAATTTGCATCCTGTTCTTGTCTCTAGTTTACAAGAATTGCTTTCTTCATCACTATCGGTATCAATGAATACTGTACAAGAAAAATTTGTACGTGAATGAAAAATTTGTTCGTAATTGAACGGTTAAATAATGGATGCAAAAATAACAGACATATGATAGCAGTCGAATAACAAGTTAAAAATGAAAAGAGAAATTGCTAAAAGTCATAACAATGGCATGTTCAGCCATTGAAACATTCAGAAAAGCTTAAACGCAAGAAAATATGGAAATGGCAGAGGAAAAGAGAGGAAGAGAAAAAGAGAAAGAAAGGAAACTTGCAAAAGAAGCTGTTGTATTAACCGAACAAAAACTGAACAATTACAACCTTATCCAGCCTTATATATAGCAGCTGTCCAAACTTAATGACTAAGTAATCTAATATCCTTCATTTAGCTGATGTGTACAGATACATAAGAAAAGACTCAAATACCCCATACATTGTTAATACTCCCCCTCAATCTCAGCTGGGATATCCCAGTCTGAGATTGGAACAATGATGAACAAACAAAGGACTATGTAATCCTTTAGTTAATACATCTGCAATCTGAGCCTCAGTGGGAATATACTGTACCTGCAGATCACCTTTTTGCACCCGTTCACGAAAAAAATGAAAATCAGTATCTAAGTGTTTAATCCTAGTATGAAAAACTGGATTAGAACACAATGCCAATGTAGAAATATTATCACAATGTACCAATGGTACTGAAGGAAGAAACATATGGAGATCCTTAAGAACTAATCGGATCCAAGCCACATCCGCTGCTGCATTAGCTAAGGCTTTATATTCAGCCTCCGTTGAGCTTCGAGAAACACTGCCTTGTTTCTTAGACTGCCAGGACACAGGATTTGAGCCCAGAAAAACAATGTAACCAGTAGTCGACCTCCTTGTATTTATATCCGCTGCCCAATCAGCATCACTATAAGCAAATAAATCTATATTGTCTTGAGCAGAGTAAGTTAATCCACATTGCCATGTACCCTTCAAATACCGGAGGATTCTTTTAACGAGACAGAAATGAGCTTCAGTTGGAGTTGTCATGAATTGGCAAGCATAGTTGACAGCATATGCAATATCAGGCCGTGTAAAGGTGAGATATTGCAATGCACCAACTAAACTTCTGTAAACTGTGGGATCAGCTAATGGTTCTCATTCATCTTTGAGCAATTGAGTATGAGGTTTACTTGGAGTGGAACAAGGTCTACAATTTATCATGCCGGCCTTATTGAGTAGATCATTCACATACTTGGATTGATTAATGAATATATCACCATTGTCTTTGTACGTGATTTGAAGTCCCAAAAAATAAGTAAGCTTGCCCATGTCCTTCATATCAAAAGCACTACTCAATTCAGCAATCACTTGTTGAATAAGGGAGGATGAAGAACCTGTGATGATGATATCATCCACATATAACAACAAGATCACTACATCAGTCCCACACACTTTCACAAACAAACTAGGATCTGAATGAGATGACTGAAAGTCTAAGGAGGGTAAATAACTTGTAAACTTGGCATTCCAAGCCCTTGGAGCCTGTTTAAGACCATATAATGACTTGAGAAGCTTGCACACATGATTAGGATGCTGAGGATCTTGAAAACCCTGAGGTTGTTTCATAAAAACTTCTTCTTGTAATTCACCATGAAGAAAAGCGTTATTTACATCCAACTGCCGCAATTCCCATCCTTTCATAGCAGCAAGAGACAAAACCAGCCTCACGGTTGTATGTCTTACCACCGGACTAAAAGTCTCATCATAGTCCAATCCTTGTTCCTGACTATAACCCTGAGCAACTAAACGTGCCTTATATCTGGACACTTTGCCATCTTGATCCTTCTTGATCTTGTACACCCATTTGCTCCCTATCACATTTCTGTCAACCGGAGGTGGTACTAGCTCCCAAGTACCTTGTTTTTGTAAAGACACAAATTCTTCCTTCATAGCATTCCTCCAATCCTCAGA